AATTTTTATATTATAGAAGTATTTCAGCTTATTGGAATTTTAAAACTCAAAAATGGAAGAGTAAAACTGAATGTCCCTTCGACTCAGTTTTCTCTAATGAAATGAACTATTTGCTCTTTCCTATTAACTAAATTAAGAGATTTGAAACATTACAATTACATCTTAAAATCAAATTTGCAATAACAACTAACTATAAAAATGAGAAAAAGGAGAAGTTAGAGCTCGAATAACGGTCATTTTTTGATTTGCTTCTGATAGTATTCTAATGTCGCGTACGTTATGCAAAAACATTGTTTGTCTACGTCATTTGTATATTGGCAGTCGCAGGTAATGCAGATTACAATTCTTAAGCGAGAATTCTACCAGTTAAAGATATACAGTAAAATTTTCTTTCCAACCGAAGTAAAAATATATTTTATTACCCTTTAAAGTTTGTCGCATACGTTATTGTAAATACGAAAATTTCAATCAAATACATCAAAACCAATGATAATTGCAAATTTTCCATTTAAATTATTTAGAATAGTTGTAAAACAATGAAACGGTGACGAGAAGAGTTCTCAAGAAATACATTTTATTACTTACGAGAAAAATTGTCGCGTACGTTATGTCGCGTACGTTATTGTTTTTTTTTTAATATAAAACTAGCCAGAGATAATTTCTCTTAAAATATGAAAGGATTGTAAAGGTACATTATTTAGCTTAGTTTAGGAATTTTAAAGAAAAGAAAAACTCTCATGATTCGCAGACTTTCGCATATATGTATATGTGCCTTAAAACCACTTCTTTTTTTGTCGCGTACGTTATCACCTAGTTTTGAACGGATATTTTCCACACCAAAGCTTCGAGGCGGCTTATTTTTTTCTCAAACGTAGTACCCTTGGGATGCAACATAACCGTAATCTTTTTTTTCTGTAACTTCTATTTTTTGATAGATTTACGTTACTCTATATGCGTACGAATGTCGCGTACGGCCGTATGGAAACACCCATATATAAAAAAATAAGAGTGAGGCAGAAATATGTAAGTACATAGACCTTGAAATGACAGCTGATAAGAAAAACGCTCGCAAATTTTATTAGAAAATTAGGTGCTTTACGGAAAATTTCAAAACCAGTGCGAATTCTTCTAAGAACAAACACTGCTGAATGATAACAGCACTGGAAGTAATTGAGAAGGCGAACCTGCGTCCCCAGTCGATGACGACGGCACTGCCCGACTGTGACGAGGTACGAATATCTGAGCTATTTATTGAAGTACAGAGTTAAGAATGGCAGAACGGGTGCCCGTTAATTGAAATTAATGTCAGTGTGCTCTGCCCAATTCACAGGAAAAACAGACAAGCCAAATGCACCAAATATCGATTATAAAGCTCCTTTTTTTGTTTAATTAATACGACAGGAAATGACATCACCGCGCCATTCAATATGAAACAAGCTTCGGAAGTGACACCGACATCAACGGACCTAACATACATAAAATTTTAATTAGTGTCCCCATTACTGTGTCCGTTACTGCATTCTTTCCGTTCACACGCCTTTCCAGCATCCACTGCCGCACAAGAGCCACCACAGCCAGCATCTCCAGTCGCAACATGCAATTTATGCCGTTTCATTTCGTTTTCATTTTCGTTTGGAATGAAAGCAACAGTTACCCACTGCCCACGTTTTTGTTGTTGGTTTTTCGTTGTACATACATATGTACGTTAAAAAAATGTCCAACTTATAACAGTAAAAATACCGCGATTGCGGGCAGCGTGTGGCCACAGTAAAATTTTCGACTGCTTCATCTTTGTGTCGCACGAAAAGTTGTTGATTGATTTGGTGGCAGCTATGCGCCAGCACTTAAATTGACGAACTTTAATGGTGCTGTGTTGCCCTGACCCCACTCGCTCGCTCACTGGGGCAGCGCATTTACTACGCTGGAGTGCAGAAATTGTTTTCTTTTGCTTTCAACTTGTTGCAAGTGAAAATACTCGTAATGAAATGATATTCACGCACGCAGCGTTTGGTTGGCGCGATATGAACCGACACACAATAGACGCTTTGGCAGTTCCGTTTATGGTCAACGTTAATGATGTGAATTCGCCAAGGAAGAGGGTGTAGAAATGGCATAGGTGCAGGGTAGAGGGAAAAGGTTTTTGGTGGATTTGTTTAGCTTAGCTTTGACAATTTGCGTAGGGGAAGATAAAAAAAAGTCTACTAACTAGAATTAATAAAAAAGTAATTTTTAAGCAAAAAACAAAACCGACTTCAATTCTCATATAAACATTTAAGAATACCGTTAATTATTTTATGATCCAATGATCGAATATAAACCAAATTAGTATGGGACGAAGGTACCACCTTTCCTTTAAAAAATGTATAGAAATCGGTTAACGTGGTACAAAGTTATGCGGTAATATACATAAAAAAATATTCCGACGAAGTGATAACATCCTCCTTTTTTGAAGTCGGTTAAGAAAATGGGCCCGAAATGTTTAAGAAGGATCTAAATCCCACATTTTCATGTCTTTCTTCGCCTTTATAAATTAAGTCCGAGGTAATCCGGATCAACGCTGCCGTCTGTTTAAGCTTTAAGATACAAGTGGCAGTAAGTGCCGTTTCGCATGCTCCGGTTTCCGATTACCCGGTATTCGGTTTGTCGACGCAAATGTGAGCAAAATAATAAGCTTTCATATGAGGCCATGAGAGCCAGAGGAGCTTATCAACAAACAAATTTTTTTGAGTAATATGCGAAAGAGGGATCCATAAATAATAATACGGTATTTTACTGAAAAGTTAATTTTACCTGAGTGATGCTATCTATGTATTATGGTAAAGGTGTGCCTCGGATTCATAAATGTAGTTTCAGCTGCATCTTAATTTTTTTTTTGTTAATGCCAGTTAGGCTGCCTCTCAAGGCCGCATGTGTTACCAAGTTACTGGAAACCAGAGCATATAAACGATACTATGGGTGGTATCCTAATTAGAAACCAATAACAATAATAACAAGTAAGAAAGTCTAAGTTCGGGCGGAGCCGAACATTAAATACCCGGCGCAAGTATTAAATATACGTTTTCACCTTTCCGTAAGCTCCAGCTACATGGTAAGCCGGGGTGTATCAATTTTGAGTAAATTAGTGCCCTTAAATTTCGAAATATTGACGCTTCAAGCACTTCTAAAATTTACCGTTATATGAAAAGCCGTAATTTTAGTCCGATTTCAATAATTTTGAAAATTTTGCTTTTATGTGGCAAGCACAATAACCACACCGAGTTTGGTACAAATTGGTGGAACGGTTACCGATATACATATATGTGATCATAAGTGGGCGGTGCCACGCCCATTTTCCAAAATTTTACCATAAGCGTATTTCTTGGTAAAGAATTGTTGCAAGCGTCAATTTTGAATAAATTAGCTTTAATATTTACTGATTTATCGAAGATTTTGTATTTCTCTAAATTACCGTTATATGGGATGTGGGCGTGGTTATTGTCCGATTTTAAAAATTTTCGGTCAGTTAGTATGCTGTACCAAGGCCAACATCTGTGCCAAGTTTGGAAGAAATTGGTGCAGCGGTTACCAAGATATACACATGTAACCATAAGTGGGCGTGGCTGCGCCCATTTTCCAAAAATTTACAATATTCTTATTTTTCGTCTGAAAATTATTGTAAATATCAATTTTGAGTGAATTATCTTCAGTAGTCACTAAAATATCGCAGTTTTCGTATTTCTGGAAGTTACCGTTATATGGGAGGTGGGCGTGGTTACAGTCCGATTTCGCCCATTTTCAATACCATCCGTCCTACGCCAGAAAGAAGTGCACGTACCAAGTTTCGTTAAGATATCTCAATTTTTACTCGAGTTATCGTGTGCACAGACGGATGGACGGACGGACGGACAGACAGTCACAGCTTAATCGATTTCTCTGTTCATTCTGATCATTTATGTATACATTTGTCTATATCTATCTCGATTCGTTTTGCCTGTTACAAACAGCCGTTATGTGAACAAAGTTATAATACCCTTGTGCACAAGTGCGCTCGGGTATAAAAATAAACGAGAATAGTCGAAATCACTTTCAGGTTCGATCTTTTCACTTTATATATACATACGTGGCGTGTCCCAGATTCAGCTCGCGACCAGCATTAACGTATTTTTTTTAAGTTAAATGGAAGCATTCAAGTCGGACCCCGGCAGCTTTTGCTACTGCTTTGGTAAATAAGTATACACCAAAAAGTGAGAAAAATGAAGTTTCAGTGCAGAGCTCGAGTTATATACAAACAAAATACGTAAGAAAGCATAAAAAAGTTGTAGCATATTTCAAGGGGACATATTTCAGATTTCTTTTTTTCTGTGAACTTTTGCGTACTTTGTATAAAGATTTTGTCTGAGAATACCGCTAGTGAAATTTTTCGGTGCATAATTTTCTGCTACATTTAACCCTCTATCGACCTCCGAAATGTTATTTTACTTGGACTTTCGTGAGAGAGCAAATAGGTTGTAATGTTCTACCAAATTGAGTCTTCGTGAAATTTTACTATATGTACCCAAAATATATATTTCGCTTTTTTGCTCTTATTGCAAAAAAATAAAAAATAAAAAATTTTACCTGAGAATGCAAAGCGATTTGGAGGTCTTACTATACTTTTTTTATATGGCATGCCAAGTATCTGAATGAAGTGCTGTCATATAATGCCGCAGCGTATCAGTAAGACCACAAAGGTACTGACTGCCTACTGCCACCTGTTCGTACTTAAGCCGAGATATTGTTGTTAATAGCTGTTAAGTGCTTTCTTACGCTAAACATTCATACTTAATTCTCTCAAAGCTAATAACAAGATCAATAAGTGTGATAATAGTTATAATCCTTCACTAAGTACATACATATGTCCATATTCATGCATGTGAGCATGTGTTCTTATCACCTGCGGCATTATCCAAAGGTATAAAAGCACACTTTGATGCACTTTCAATGATAAATCGATTTACAAGGCAAAGCAAAGTACTATCACAATGAAATTAGCAGTGCTCTGTCTCGCCTTTGCATTGTTCCTGGCTGCCGCCACGGTGAGTAGAATACTTCAAATACTCGTAGGTACTCGTAAGAGCGTAGGTATTCCTCAGCAGCAAAAATTTGTCTATGCTATCATCCTTAGGCCAATACGGATTACATCGTCGATGACGAACAACTAACAGAATTCATTCCCTTGGACTATGCTGAGGAGAGTATCGACCCGGATATCTTGGGTGTATTTGGTCCTTTATACTTTACCATCAAAGCCAGCTTACGTACCTTGAAAGGTGTAAATTGCACCATCAAAAGGGTAATGAGCATTCGCAGTGCTGGAGTGGATTTCCTGGAAGCCGTCGAAGATTGCAATACCGGCGTTTTAAAGGATTTCAATGCGCTTATTAACCAAGTTCAAGCTGTTGTGAATACCTGCAACGATATCATCAATTTGAACAGCAATGTGTGCAATAACGGCACACTGGACGATGAGATGGATGCCAACAAGAAAACTCCAGCCCGTTGTGCTTCAAAATTGTTGAACAAAATGATTACGCTAAAGAAACAGATCTCAAAAACTATTAAGTTGTCGAAGAAATTGCCATCCACACCAGGCACCTATGCTGGATGCGCGAGCAGTGCTGTGGGTGATATGATTTCGGTGTTCACTGAATTTCCCACTTTCGTGAAGAACTGCTCCAAATTGAAGAATTAAATAGTGCGTGATGGAAATTTTGATTGCAAATAAATGTTAGATAGCTTGGAACAAATGAATATGATTTCTAGTATTTTCTTCATAGCAGCGAAAGTTTTTTATGGTTTAGTTTTTTTTTTGTTTTCTCAGAACTATATACACAAAACAATGCGTGGTTTAGTTAGTCCTCATCAAAACTAGGGTAGGTGTACTCAGAAATTAGTAAGTACTGGAAAGATGTAGGCTAAACAGAAATTACATTGCTTATCTTTTTAGAATGCGACGCTGTTTTATGATTAGTTATGAAGGCATAGTATACCTAAGGTTGTACCGTCATATTTTTATCCTCACAAACATCTAATTAGTCGATCTACAATCTTAAGGATAAGAGGCATAACAGATTGAAAGGTTATCTAGAGCAAAGACATCAGATGAAGTCATCGCTAAAACTGCCGGTCCAGCTAACGAGTAGCTCAATTAGTAGCTCGTAGCTCGTTAGCTGGACCGGAAGTTTTTTCGGTGACTTCATCTGTTGTTTTTGCTATAGATAACCTTTCAACCTGTTATATCATTTCTACGAAAAGTTGTTTTTCCCCCATATAAAATAAATGGAAAACTTTGAGTGCTTTGAGCGACCTCTAAATATTTTTTTATTTCAAAATAAAAAATAGGGGAATATTTTTTTGGGTTTAGAACAATCCAAGGGGGTGAGAGCATAAAAATTCAGACTTTACTTTTTTACACGCATTTTTTTACCACCCTAGTATACATACATAAAAAAATGCTGTTTTAAATTAACAAAATAAAAGTTTGTATTACATAGAAGCGTGGCAACCCTGATGGAATATTTTAGATAAATTGTGTAGAATCGAAAATAAGTGGCAACCTTATACTGTTATCCTAAGGGATAACCTTTTGTATATGTATAGGGAAAGCATTGTTTAAGAACCTTCTCTTAGTACCCATGAATGAATAGTAATATTTTACCTTTTTTTCCTAACCAAAAAACTAAATAAATATGCGATTCAAAATAGGTGACATTTCTACTAAAAATATTTTTGAATTAGGGATATTTAAAATACATTCGATTTGGTACCCATATTATGATGTTTTAATTCATTTTCAAATAGCGGTCGCGAGTGTACTTCTGCCGTAAAAAAGCATCTTCGCAGGTGGAGCAAAAGTGAAGATCTCTCCATTTGTGTCACAACATTAAGAGGCAGAGCACGAATTGAAGGAGAAACTCGGCCAAACACGTAGAAAACATTTAAGCCGCACACATTTATTTATTAGAATCACATATGATATAAATACTCGGGGTATTGCCTAGAATATAATTTATAACTTGAAAAAGGCCTTGAAATTTTCGAAAAACTCAAAACTTTTATTGACAGTTCAAGATTTGGATGAAATAAAAAAACACGATTTTTCTGATGAAAAATCCGGGTTATTCGATATTCGAAGAAACAAGATGTCAAAAAACCGGTGCAAACCGGTTTGAAAAAACTGAGTCTGTCACCCTACTACATTCAAACATATTTATGCACATCGATAGTTGCGTCTTAAAAATGTAGTCTCTTACTACGTTTATACGCATGCATAAGTCGCTTTAATTCATTTCGCCGCGATTCAAAACATATGTATAAACTGAATTTCAATTCGCTTTGAAAGAGCGAAGTGTTTTGGCTCACACTCCATTTCAAATCGGTAGTTTAATTCTCCAGACAGTTAGAAAGAGTGTATAAACACCGCTCTCACTCAAAGCGAATTGGAGATCAGCTGTTCCGCTCAAATTCCAAATAATCGCATCAGTATTTAAAAGCTGATTAATAATAATCGTTCTTTTTCTTTGCCACGATTTTATAATGCCGAATAAAACTAGATTTTTATCACTTTCCATTATGTTAACTTACAAAATGTCAAATGAAAACTGCTGATTTTGTTTGCTTTTGAAGACGGTTACTTTGATGCCGATATAAAGCCGTAAGTATATACTACGTTTATACGCATGCATAAGTCGCTTTAATGCATTTCGCCG